AAATAGTAACATGCCTTCTTCATACAGTGCGCAAAGAATAGGTTTTATTTTCGTTTGTGCAACTTTCAATACTCAAATGTGTTGTTACAACTGGATATCTACTATAAGGATGACTTTGTCGAAAAAACAACTGGATATAATTATTCTATGAACCCTTACGAACAAAACGAATGCACACATGTGTGGATTAGACGTGATTTGCCCCAGAATATTAGCATGAAAAGGTAAGAAAGGACGATATATATTTTATATATATATACAGTTTGACTCCTTTTTCATACTTTTGGTGATATTTAATGTTTATTTTAACATAATACGCGTTTAGAGGTGGGAATAAGCTTTCAAAAGAGATATAGCTTGACTATATTGACACAAGTGAATTCTAATACTGATGCTGTTAAATGAAAAATATCTGAATCCTCCCTGTACAGGGAGGGTGATCCTTAAAAGGTATAGCTTACATTATTCAGTTTCAGAGAATGAGAGGGAGTCACAGACAGGTGCAGGATTGTCTATTGGCAGAATTATAGAGGCGTTTTTTCACACAAACAAAAAAAACAAAAAAACTAAAGAATCTAAGATTACGGATGGAGTGCAGTCGCTTGACCCCAAAATATTTTTTAAAGAAGAGCCCCTGTTTTCATTTGGCAGAACCTTTCAGTCAGATATAGAGGACGAGGTATGAGGTACGTCAAACTAGGTGGATTCTTGGGAGAAAAAAATGGATTAGAGAGTGCCTATTGGACTTCCTTGTCCTTTTGGAACGTTTAAAAAGTGTTTCATGAGCTTTTGAGGCTTGCAAAGATCTTTTTAATACCTGTCAGTACTGCGTTTTGTGAAAGAAGTTTCTCTGTCCTAAAACTTATTAAAAACCATCTCAGAACTGAGTCATCTTGGTATCCTCAGTGTAGAGTCAAGGAGGGCTCAGGACTCAATATGGATGAGTTTGTCAATATCTTTGCTGCTTTACACCAGAACCGCAGGAATTTGCTAAATTTGTTAAAAGAAAAATGAAATGCAATGTTTGAATGATGTCATTTTGTACTTTTTTTGTTCAGACTACTGTTTAAATACGCTTTTTTTCTTCGTAGTTTCCAAGTGTGCTCTCAGTTCACTTTATATAAAGAATAAACATAAGATTAAGATTAAAATGTATCGTTTAGCCAGTTTTTGTGTGAAATAAAATTTCTGAATAGTATGAATGTGGACCCCTTAAAAAAAACCTTGCCACCCCCTGGCCACCCTCTGTTTAAAAGTCTGGCTCCGCCACTGAGCAAAGGAGCCTGGAGCTGATGTTATCTGGTCCTGGTGCCTTTCTGGTCTTTATCCTCCTCATCGCTGAGTAGGGAGGACGGGGGCTCAGTGGTGGGGGGGGGAGTGTCTCTGGGAGGGCTGGTGGGGCCGTGGGAGGAAGACTGTGGTGGCATGACAGAGGTGTGAACGATCATAGGTGTTGCCCTTTGTTCCGCTGCCAGAGTGAGGCAGAGCGTCTGCGCAGGGGGAGGGGAAGGCTGGTCAAAGCGAGCGAAGAATGTATTTAGCTCGTTTGCTTAATGCTGCTGTCAGTCTGCCCCAGGGCAGCGGTGGCTCCAGTGAAGTGGGACACTGTCCATTTAAGCACATTCTAAGATGACTCTTACACATTCTTCTGTTTTTGTACAAAATCCCAAAGGGACCATAGACCAAGTTATTGATCAGCAGATAATATGACCCAGAGGAGACTGGGGCCTGATGTGCAGGTCAGTTTATAAAAGGGGTCTGGTATATGGACTGTCTCTGGTCTCTCTGGTCTATGGGGGCCACAGGGGGCAGTGTGTTTGGTGCTGTAAGGGAAATGTGATCCGAGCAAACATCAGGGTCAAACCCGTCTGAGCCGACTACCGTGGGAACAGGAGATTTGTGTCAAGGAGAAAGAGAGAGAGAGATATCAGCAAGTGAGAACAGAGAGCGAGACCAGAGAGAGAGAACAGGGAGAGACACCAAGACTAGAATCTGACTCCTGACTTACCACAGTTGCCTTTGGTACCATGCAGATGCTTCAGCTCATCCACAGTTAGGGGATAGTGTGCACAATAGTGTCTTTGATGAAGCCTCAGGACATTTTTGTACAAAACCAGAGACCTCCGCTCTGCCAGCTGCACTGCAAAAACACACTTCAGAGTCTAGAAATGCTTTAAAACATAATCTTATTCTCTCTCTGGTCTCTCTCTCGCTCGCTCTCTCTCTGGTCTCTCTCCCTGGTCTCTCTCCCTGGTTTCCTCTGGTCTTCCTCTCTGCTCTCTCTCTCAGGTCTCTGGTCTCTCTAGTCTCTCTCTCTCTCATTATCATCAAAGCCTGAGAGCCTCAGAGACTCACTAGGATGAAGTGGACTTGGTGTCAGAGCTTGGACCAAGGCAGATGTAACAAAATATTTCTCTGGCGAAAGTTATTCAAAGGAGAAGAGTTGTGGCACGAGCTGAAGCTGAGTGAAGATGAGGCGCTGTTTTGAACAGCTGTATTTCCTTTTTGGTTGGAAGAACCCTGTATTAAGGCAAAACACTCTGAAAACAAAATTGTCTTCTTTAAAACGAAATGACTCGGAAGAAAAATCAAAACATTTAAGGTATTTTTAGAGTGTGGAGTTTGTGACCCGGAAACACGGATACTCCCACCACAGTACTCTCGGTGTACAGCAGCAGCAGCAGTAGTGGTCGCAGAATTTCTAGTAGAAGCATTAGTAATAGTAGTAGTAAAAGTAGTAATGGTGGAGCATTTACCCTGGAGTACTGTTTGCAGTCAGTTTCCTGATGACGCACCGGGGACAAAAGTATTTAAAGTACTCCAGTAAAGCCAAAGTTGTGGGAGTACTTCTGTCACTGCAGTACAATGTGAGGTAATGTGTGTAGTACTCTTGCAGTAGTGTGTGTAGTACTTGAGTCGGGTACGAGCCGGGTCTGTGAAGAGGCGAGCTCATGACTGCGGCTTTTGGAATGCTGCTTTTAAATTAGGAACATTTATTTTAGTTGGTCTCACAATGTCTCACACAAAGAGATCAGCAGTAGTAAATAATTGTTATTTATGTAGCGCATTTCACAAACCAAGATAATAAAAAAATTTGGTGTACAAGTAACAATAGCAACAGCAGTTGAATGAGCTGTATTTGCTGTAGTAGTAGTAGTAGTAGTAGTAGTAGTAGCCACAGCAGGGGTAGTACTGGGAGTAGTAGTATTTTTAATCGTATTATCAGTACTTGTACTTCCTGCCCAGAGTTTACACAGCGGACACTGAGTTAATCATCACTTTGACTGAAGCAAAACTCAGAGTACTGCGCTCTGCTGCTGTAGTACATGTACACAATGCTGTAGTATAAGTACGCACTGCTGTAGTACAGGTACACTCTGCTATAGTACTGGTACATACTGCAATAGTACTTGTACACACTGCTGTAGTACTATTACACACGGCTGGGTACCTCTGCAGTATTACACAGGACCTAAAGTACTACTACTACTACATCCTGAAGTACTCACACCATTACCAGGTAAGTATCAGTATTTTATGTGTTTTCAGCTGTTCAGATTACTTCAGTCTGTACTTTTACTGCAGTCTGTGTATTTTTACTACATATCTAGAAGTACACTGTCACTACAGTACAATGTGAGGTAATGTGTGAAGTACTCCTGTGTGTAGTGTATCCAAATCTTTGAAGTTTAAAGCTGGGGTTCGTAACTTTAGTCTTATAGAAAACATGTTGTCTGAACAGAGCGTCTTAAAGTAAATTATTGTGAACAAATCAGACCACATCATGCTGTCTTTTCTTTTGGGTTAGAAAGAACCCGTGAATTCACCATTTGACTCTTTGGGCTGGGAGCTGATTGGCTGAGGGTGGTCCTCTCTTTTTTTCTGTCTGAAAAAGTTGCCCTAAAGATGTGACAGAGGTCAAATACATAATGTAGAACGAGTGATAGAAGTTTTAGAGTCAGGAGCTAAAGACTTGTGTCAGGGATGAAGCAGACAGAGACGGATCGTGGTGCGCCAAACTCTGGAAGTTTATTTAAGTTTCTCTCAAGTTCCAGTGGTTTCCATTGTTTCTTTCTCTCAGACAGAATGGAGTCAGTACACAGTTTATATAGTCATTGTCACGTCACACATGGAAAGACGTGTCACACAGAGACGGTCACATCAGAGTCAAAATAATCAGAGTCCTTGTACAGTCCTGCACGTAGGCCATATTGCTATCTAATACTAACACTCACCCCTTTGATCACATAATCACATGTGATCACTCAATTTGATCAATCAATAAAGTGAAAGAAAAAAAAATCTAAAAAAAAACTTTAAAAAATTATTAAAAAACATAATCATCAAAATCAATATCAGTGGATTTTATCCTCTATCCTGGGGAAAAAACAAACAAAATAAGTAAATAAATAAACAAAAAACGAAAACAAATCAAAAGGACACAGTAGAACTCATCAGATTCAATCAAAACACAGACAAAAAGTCAGTCTCAAATTGAAGCTAATTTCACTTTTCTTACTCTATACTTTTATTCTAATGCTGATTGTTTACACTTCACTTATTTCACTGTATTATTATCACTTTTTAATCGTAGACTGTGTACTTTACTTTTACTATTCACTATAGTTGAAAACTATTCTAATCTATTTACAAATATGTTTGCATATTTGCTTTTATTGAGCCATATTCTTAAACATACATTTTAATCTAATAAATCTCTCTGTGGTATTTTACTTTCATCAGTGGCTTTGTGCCAGTGGGATTTTGTTCTTTGTCTATTCTACATTCTCAGGAATAAAACTGTGAACACAGAAAGACAAATGGTTAATATGAACATTATTATGGCGGTCAGTTTTCCAAATACATTTGTTGAACCAGGAAGTGCTGTCACTTCCTCCTCTCAGGCAGTTTGGGATGATTGTACATCAATAATCAAACTAGAAATGGTACAATGGCTGAAGCCATTGTGAGTGGCTGCATAGATGTTGGAAGGGTTAGGGATGAAGAAGGAAGAGGAAGGGGAAGAAGAAGGAAGAATAAGAAAGAAAAGGGAAGAAGAGGAAAGAAGAAGAAAGAAGAAGGGGAAGAAGGGGAAGAAGAAGAAGAAGAGGAAGAAGGGGAAGAAGGGGAAGAAGGGGAAGAAGAGGAAGAAGAGGAAGAAGAGAAGAAGGGGAAGAAGGGGAAGAAGGGGAAGAAGAAGAAGAAGGGGAAGAAGGGGAAGAAGAGGAAGAAGAGAAGAAGGGGAAGAAGGGGAAGAAGAAGAAGAAGGGGAAGAAGGGGAAGAAGGGGAAGAAGGGGAAGAAGAGGAAGAAGAGGAAGAAGGGGAAGAAGGGGAAGAAGAGGAAGAAGAGTCGAAGGGGAAGAAGGGGAAGAAGTGAAGAAGAAGGGGAAGAAGAATGTGTTGTAAAGTGCTGAATGTGTTGTGAAGTGCTGTAAGTGTTGTGAGGTGCTGAATGTGTTGTAAGGTGCTGTAAGTGTTGTAAGGTGCTGAATTTGTTGTAAGGTGCTGTAAGTGTTGTAAAGTGCTAAATGTGTTGTAAGGTGTTGAATTTGTTGTAAGGTGCTGAATGTGTCGTAAAGTGCTAAATGTGTTGTAAGGTGTTGAATTTGTTGTAAATTGCTAAATGTATTGTAAAGTGCTAAATGTGTTGTAAGATGTTGAATGTGTTGTAAGGTGCTAAATGTGTTGTAAGGTGTTGAATTTGTTGTAAAGTGTTAAATGTGTTGTAAGGTGTTGAATGTGTTGTAAAGTGCTAAATGTGTTTTAAGGTGTTGAATTTGTTGTAAGGTGCTGAATGTGTTGTAAGGTGTTGAATTTGTTGTAAAGTGCTAAATGTGTTGAAAGGTGTTGAATGTGTTGTAAAGTGCTAAATGTGTTGTAAGGTGTTGAATTTGTGTTAAAGTGCTAAATGTGTTGTAAGATGTTGAATGTGTTGTAAGGTGCTAAATGTGTGGTATGGTGTTGAATTTGTTGTAAAGTGTTAAATGTGTTGTAAGGTGTTGAATGTGTTGTAAAGTGCTAAATATGTTTTAAGGTGTTGAATTTGTTGTAAGGTGCTGAATGTGTTGTAAGGGGTTGAATTTGTTGTAAAGTGCTAAATGTGTTGTAAGGTGTTGAATTTGTTGTAAGGTGCTAAATGTGTTGTAAGGTGTTGAATTTGTTGTAAAGTGCTAAATATGTTGTAAGGTGCTATAAGTGTTGTAAGATGTTGCAATGTTTGTATCTGTGGTAATGAATTGTTAGTGTGGTAATGTGTTGTATGGGGAGTAATCTGTTGTACTGGTCCAATGTAAGTCAATGGGAAAAAGTGCTTGAACTTTTGTTAATATCTGAAAAAGTGCTAAAGGTGGAAGTGTGAAAAGTAATAGCAATAATGAGACGGTGAAGCCGGTTGTAACGATGTATAATTTGTTGAATTTGGTGAAAGCGTTGAAGAGTTGAAAAGTGCCAAAATCTGGCGGAAGTGGAAGAAGAAGAAGAAGAAGAACTAGAAATGGTACAATGGCTGAAGCCATTGTGAGTGGCTGCATAGATGTTGGAAGGGTTAGTGATGAAGAAGGAAGAGGAAGGGGAAGAAGAAGGAAGAAGAAAGAAAAGGGAAGAAGAGGAAAGAAGAAGAAGGACGAGGAGGAGGAAGAAGAAGAAGGGGAAGAAGAAGAAGAAGAGGAAGAAGAGGAAGAAGGGGAAGAAGAGGAAGAAGAGGAAGAAGGGGAAGAAGAGGAAGAAGTGAAGAAGATGAAGTAAGAAGAATGTGTTGTAAGGGGCTGAAAGTGTTGTAAAGTGCTGAATGTGTTGTAAAGTGCTGAATGTGTTGTAAAGTGCTGAATGTGTTGTAAAGTGCTGAATGTGTTGTAAAGTGCTGAATGTGTATTAAAGTGCTAAATGTGTTGTAAAGTGCTAAATGTGTTGTAAGGTGTTGAATGTGTTGTAAAGTGCTAAATGTGTTGTAAGGTATTGAATGTGTTGTAAAGTGCTAAATGTGTTGTAAGGTGTTGAATTTGTTGTAAAGTGCTAGATGTGTTGTAAGGTGTTGAATTTGTTGTAAAGTGCTAAATGTGTTGTAAGGTGTTGAATTTGTGTTAAAGTGCTAAATGTGTTGTAAGGTGTTGAATTTGTGTTAAAGTGCTAAATGTGTTGTAAGGTGTTGAATTTGTTGTAAAGTGCTAAATGTGTTGTAAGGTGTTGAATGTGTTGTAAAGTGCTAAATGTGTTGTAAGGTGTTGAATGTGTTGTAAAGTGCTAAATGTGTTGTAAGGTGTTGAATGTGTTGTAAAGTGCTAAATGTGTTGTAAGGTGTTGAATGTGTTGTAAAGTGCTAAATGTGTTGTAAGGTGTTGAATTTGTTGTAAGGTGCTGAATGTGTTGTAAGGTGTTGAATTTGTTAAAGTGCTAAATGTGTTGTAAGGTGTTGAATTTGTTGTAAAGTTCTAAATGTGTTGTAAGGTGTTGAATTTGTTGTAAGGTGCTGAATGTGTTGTAAGGTGTTGAATTTGTTGTAAAGTGCTAAATGTGTTGTAAGGTGAATTTGTTGTAAGGTGCTAAATGTGTTTATAAGGTGTTGAATTTGTTGTAAAGTGCTAAATGTGTTGTAATGTGCTGTAAGTGTTGTAAGATGTTGTAATGTATTGTATCTGTGGTGATGAATTGTTAGTGTGGTAATGTGTTGTATGGGGAGTAATATGTGGTACTGGTCCAATGTAAGTTTATGGGAAAAAGTGCTTGAACTTGTGTTAATATCTGAAAAAGTGCTAAAGGTGGAAGTGTGAAAAGTAATAGCAATAATGAGACGGTGAAGCCGGTCGTAACGATGTATAATTTGTTGAATTTGGTGAAAGCGTTGAAGAGTTGAAAAGTGCCAAAATCTGGCGGAAGTGGAAGAAGAAGAAGAAGAAGAAAGAAGAAGAAGAATAAACAGTAGGAGAGCATATAGTGGCTGCATAGTCTATGCAGCCACTCAACTAGAAATGGTACAATGGCTGAAGCCATTGTGAGTGGCTGCATAGATGTTGGAAGGGTTAGGGATGAAGAAGGAAGAGGAAGGGGAAGAAGAAGGAAGAAGAAAGAAAAGGGAAGAAGAGGAAAGAAGAAGAAGGAAGAGGAGGAGAAAGAAGAAGGGGAAGAAGAAGAAGAAGGGGAAGAAGGGGAAGAAGGGGAAGAAGAGGAAGAAGGGGAAGAAGGGGAAGAAGAGGAAGAAGAGGAAGAAGAGGAAGAAGGGGAAGAAGAGGAAGAAGTGAAGAAGATGAAGTAAGAAGAATGTGTTGTAAGGGGCTGAAAGTGTTGTAAAGTGCTGAATGTGTTGTAAGGTGTTGTAAAGTGCTAAATGTGTTGTAAGGTGTTGAATGTGTTGTAAAGTGCTAAATGTGTTGTAAGGTGTTGAATTTGTTGTAAAGTGCTAAATGTGTTGTAAGGTGTTGAATTTGTTGTAAAGTGATAAATGTGTTGTAAGGTGTTGAATTTGTGTTAAAGTGCTAAATGTGTTGTAAGGTGTTGAATTTGTTGTAAAGTGCTAAATGTGTTGTAAGGTGTTGAATTTGTTGTAAAGTGCTAAATGTGTTGTAAGGTGTTGAATTTGTTGTAAAGTGCTAAATGTGTTGAATTTGTGTTAAAGTGCTAAATGTGTTGTAAGGTGTTGAATGTGTTGTAAAGTGCTAAATGTGTTGTAAGGTGTTGAATGTGTTGTAAGGTGCTGAATGTGTTGTAAGGTGTTGAATTTGTTGTAAAGTGCTAAATGTGTTGTAAGGTGTTGAATTTGTTGTAAAGTGCTAAATGTGTTTTAAGTTGTTGAATGTGTTGTAAAGTGCTAAATGTGTTGTAAGGTGTTGAATTTGTTGTAAGGTGCTAAATGTGTTGTAAGGTGTTGAATTTGTTGTAAAGTGCTAAATGTGTTGTAAGGTGTTGAATTTGTTGTAAAGTGCTAAATGTGTTGTAAGGTGTTGAATTTGTTGTAAGGTGCTAAATTTGTTGTAAGGTGTTGAATTTGTTGTAAGGTGCTAAATGTGTTGTAAGGTGCTATAAGTGTTGTAAGGTGTTTTGTTGTAAAGTGCTAAATGTGTTGTAAGGTGTTGAATGTGTTGTAAAGTGCTAAATGTGTTGTAAGGTGTTGAATTTGTTGTAAGGTGCTGAATGTGTTGTAAGGTGTTGAATTTGTTGTAAAGTGCTAAATGTGTTGTAAGGTGTTGAATTTGTTGTAAAGTGCTAAATGTGTTGTAAGGTGTTGAATGTGTTGTAAAGTGCTAAATGTGTTGTAAGGTGCTGCAAGTGTTGTAAGATGCTGTAATGTATTGTATCTGTGGTAATGAATTGTTAGTGTGGTAATGTGTTGTATGGGGAGTAATCTGTTGTACTGGTCCAATGTAAGTCAATGGGAAAAAGTGCTTGAACTTTTGTTAATATTGAAAAAGTGCTAAAGGTGGAAGTTTGAAAAGTAATAGCAATAATGAGACGGTGAAGCCGGTCGTAACGATGTATAATTTGTTGAATTTGGTGAAAGCGTTGAAGAGTTGAAAAGTGCCAAAATCTGGCGGAAGTGGAAGAAGAAGAAGAAGAAGAAGAAGAACTAGAAATGGTACAATGGCTGAAGCCATTGTGAGTGGCTGCATAGATGTTGGAAGGGTTAGGGATGAAGAAGGAAGAGGAAGGGGAAGAAGAAGGAAGAAGAAAGAAAAAGGGAAGAGGAAAGAAGAAGAAGGAAGAAGAGGAGGAGGAAGAAGAAGAAGGGGAAGAAGGGAAGAAGGGGAAGAAGGGAAGAAGGGGAAGAAGAAGAAGAAGGGGAAGAGAGGAATAAGAGAGGAAGAAGGGGAAGAAGAGGAAGAAGAGGAAGAAGGGGAAGAAGGGAAGAAGAGGAAGAAAGAAGGGAAGAAGAAGAAGAAGAATGAAGGTGAAGTTGAAGAATGTGTTGTAAGGGGCTGAAAGTGTTGTAAAGTGCTGAATGTGTTGTAAGGTGTTGTAAAGTGCTAAATGTGTTGTAAAGTGCTGAATGTGTTGTAAAGTGCTGAATTTGTTGTGTAAGTGTGTAATGTGTTGTAAAGTGCTAAATGTGTTGTAAAGTGCTGAATGTGTATTCAAGTGCTAAATGTGTTGTAAAGTGCTAAATGTGTTGTAAGGTGTTGAATTTGTTGTAAAGTGCTAAATGTGTTGTAAGGTATTGAATGTTTTGTAAAGTGCTAAATGTGTTGTAAGGTGTTGAATGTGTTGTAAAGTGCTAAATGTGTTGTAAGGTGTTGAATTTGTTGTAAAGTGCTAAATGTGTTGTAAGGTGTTGAATTTGTTGTAAAGTGCTAAATGTGTTGTAAGGTGTTGAATTTGTGTTAAAGTGCTAAATGTGTTGTAAGGTGTTGAATTTGTGTTAAAGTGCTAAATGTGTTGTAAGGTGTTGAATTTGTTGTAAAGTGCTAAATGTGTTGTAAGGTGTTGAATGTGTTGTAAAGTGCTAAATGTGTTGTAAGGTGTTGAATTTGTTGTAAAGTGCTAAATGTGTTGTAAGGTGTTGAATGTGTTGTAAAGTGCTAAATGTGTTGTAAGTTGTTGAATGTGTTGTAAAGTGCTAAATGTGTTGTAAGGTGTTGAATTTGTTGTAAGGTGCTAAATGTGTTGTAAGGTGTTGAATGTGTTGTAAAGTGCTAAATGTGTTGTAAGGTGTTAAATGTGTTGTAAGGTGTTGAATTTGTTGTAAGGTGCTAAATATGTTGTAAGGTGTTGAATTTGTTGTAAGGTGCTAAATGTGTTGTAAGGTGCTATAAGTGTTGTAAGGTGTAGAATTTGTTGTAAAGTGCTAAATGTGTTGTAAGGTGTTGAATGTGTTATAAAGTGCTAAATGTGTTGTAAGGTGTTGAATTTGTTGTAAGGTGCTGAATGTGTTGTAAGGTGTTGAATTTGTTGTAAGGTGCTAAATGTGTTGTAAGGTGTTGAATGTGTTGTAAAGTGCTAAATGTGTTGTAAGGTGTTGAATTTGTTGTAAAGTGCTAAATGTGTTGTAAGGTGCTGCAAGTTTTGTAAGATGCTGTAATGTATTGTATCTGTGGTAATGAATTGTTAGTGTGGTAATGTGTTGTATGGGGAGTAATCTGTTGTACTGGTCCAATGTAAGTCTATGGGAAAAAGTGCTTGAACTTTTGTTAATATCTGAAAAAGTGCTAAAGGTGGAAGTGTGAAAAGTAATAGCAATAATGAGACGGTGAAGCCGGTCGTAACGATGTATAATTTGTTGAATTTGGTGAAAGCGTTGAAGAGTTGAAAAGTGCCAAAATCTGGCGGAAGTGGAAGAAGAAGAAGAAGAAGAAGAAGAAGAACTAGAAATGGTACAATGGCTGAAGCCATTGTGAGTGGCTGCATAGATGTTGGAAGGGTTAGGGATGAAGAAGGAAGAGGAAGGGGAAGAAGAAGAAGAAGAAAGAAAGGGAAGAAGAGGAAAGAAGAAGAAGGAAGAGGAGGAGGAAGAAGAAGAAGGGGAAGAAGAAGGAGAAGGGGAAGAAGAGGAAGAAGGGGAAGAAGGGGAAGAAGAGGAAGAAGAGGAAGAAGGGGAAGACGAGGAAGAAGAGAGGAAGAAGGGAAGAAGGGGAAGAAGAGGAAGAAGGGAAGAAGAGGAAGAAGAGAAAGAAGGGGAAAGAAGAAGAAGGAAGAGGAGGAGGAAGAAGGGAAGAAGAGGAAGAAGAGGAAGAAGGGGAAGAGAGGGGGAAGAAGAGGAAGAAGAGGAAGAAGGGGAAGAAGGGAAGAAGAGGAAGAAGGGGAAGAAGAGGAAGAAGAGAAGAAGGGGAAAAAGAGGAAGAAGATGAAGTAAGAAGAATGTGTTGTAAGGGGCTGAAAGTGTTGTAAAGTGCTGAATGTGTTGTAAGGTGTTGTAAAGTGCTAAATGTGTTGTAAAGTGCTGAATGTGTTGTAAAGTGCTGAATGTGTTGTAAGGTGTTGAATTTGTGTAAAGTGCTAAATGTGTTGTAAGGTGTTGTGTTGTAATTTGATTGTTTAAAGTGCTAAATGTGTTGTAAGGTGTTGAATTTGTTGTAAAGTGCTAAATGTGTTGTAAGGTGTTGAATTTGTTGTAAAGTGCTAAATGTGTTGTAAGGTGTTGAATTTGTTGTAAAGTGCTGAATGTGTTGTAAGGTGTTGAATTTGTTGTAAAGTGCTAAATGTGTTGTAAGGTGTTGAATTTGTTGTAAAGTGCTAAATGTGTTGTAAGGTGTTGAATTTGTTGTAAAGTGCTAAATGTGTTGTAAGGTGTTGAATTTGTTGTAAAGTGCTGTGTTGTAATTTGTTGTAAAGTGCTGAATGTGTTGTAAGGTGTTGAATTTGTTGTAAAGTGCTAAATGTGTTGTAAGGTGTTGAATTTGTTGTAAAGTGCTAAATGTGTTGTAAAATGTGTTGTAAATGTGTTGTAAGGTGTTGAATGTGTTGTAAAGTGCTAAATGTGTTGAATTTGTTGTAAAGTGCTAAATGTGTTGTAAGGTGTTGAATGTGTTGTAAAGTGCTAAATGTGTTGTAAGGTGTTGAATTTGTTGTAAGGTGCTGAATGTGTTGTAAGGTGTTGAATTTGTTGTAAAGTGCTAAATGTGTTGTAAGGTGTTGAATTTGTTGTAAAGTGCTAAATGTGTTGTAAGGTGTTGAATGTGTTGTAAAGTGCTAAATGTGTTGTAAGGTGTTGAATGTGTTGTAAAGTGCTAAATGTGTTGTAAGGTGTTGAATGTGTTGTAAGGTGCTTGTGTTGTAAGGTGTTGAATTTGTTGTAAAGTGCTAAATGTGTTGAATTTGTTGTAAAGTGCTAAATGTGTTGTAAGGTGTTGAATTAGTTGTAAAGTGCTAAATGTGTTGTAAGGTGCTGTAAGTGTTGTAAGATGTTGTAATGTATTGTATCTGTGGTAATGAATTGTTAGTGTGGTAATGTGTTGTATGGGGAGTAATCTGTTGTACTGGTCCAATGTAAGTCTATGGGAAAAAGTGCTTGAACTTTTGTTAATATCTGAAAAAGTGCTAAAGGTGGAAGTGTGAAAAGTAATAGCAATAATGAGACGGTGAAGCCGGTCGTAACGATGTATAATTTGTTGAATTTGGTGAAAGCGTTGAAGAGTTGAAAAGTGCCAAAATCTGGCGGAAGTGGAAGAAGAAGAAGAAGAAGAAGAACTAGAAATGGTACAATGGCTGAAGCCATTGTGAGTGGCTGCATAGATGTTGGAAGGGTTAGGGATGAAGAAGGAAGAGGAAGGGGAAGAAGAAGGAAGAAGAAAGAAAAGGGAAGAAGAGGAAAGAAGAAGAAGGAAGAGGAGGAGGAAGAAGAAGAAGGGGAAGAAGAAGGAAGAAGGGGAAGAAGAGGAAGAAGGGGAAGAAGAGGAAGAAGGGGAAGAAGAGGAAGAAGAGGAAGAAGGGGAAGAAGAGGAAGAAGAGGAAGAAGAGGAAGAAGGGGAAGAAGAGGAAGAAGGGGAAGAAGAGGAAGAAGTGAAGAAGATGAAGTAAGAAGAATGTGTTGTAAGGGGCTGAAAGTGTTGTAAAGTGCTGAATGTGTTGTAAGGTGTTGTAAAGTGCTAAATGTGTTGTAAAGTGCTGAATGTGTTGTAAAGTGCTGAATGTGTTGTAAAGTGCTGAATGTGTTGTAAAGTGCTAAATGTGTTGTAAGGTGTTGAATGTGTTGTAAAGTGCTAAATGTGTTGTAAGGTGTTGAATTTGTTGTAAAGTGCTAAATGTGTTGTAAGGTGTTGAATTTGTTGTAAAGTGCTAAATGTGTTGTAAGGTGTTGAATTTGTGTTAAAGTGCTAAATGTGTTGTAAGGTGTTGAATTTGTTGTAAAGTGCTAAATGTGTTGTAAGGTGTTGAATTTGTTGTAAAGTGCTAAATGTGTTGTAAGGTGTTGAATTTGTTGTAAAGTGCTAAATGTGTTGTAAGGTGTTGAATGTGTTGTAAAGTGCTAAATGTGTTGTAAGGTGTTGAATTTGTTGTAAAGTGCTAAATGTGTTGTAAGGTGTTGAATTTGTTGTAAAGTGCTAAATGTGTTGTAAGGTGTTGAATTTGTTGTAAAGTGCTAAATGTGTTGTAAGGTGTTGAATTTGTTGTAAAGTGCTAAATGTGTTGTAAGGTGTTGAATTTGTTGTAAGGTGCTAAATGTGTTGTAAGGTGCTATATGTGTTGTAAGAATTTGTTGTAAAGTGCTAAATGTGTTGTAAGGTGTTGAATGTGTTATAAAGTGCTAAATGTGTTGTAAGGTGTTGAATTTGTTGTAAGGTGCTGAATGTGTTGTAAGGTGTTGAATTTGTTGTAAGGTGCTAAATGTGTTGTAAGGTGTTGAATGTGTTGTAAAGTGCTAAATGTGTTGTAAGGTGTTGAATTTGTTGTAAAGTGCTAAATGTGTTGTAAGGTGCTGCAAGTTTTGTAAGATGCTGTAATGTATTGTATCTGTGGTAATGAATTGTTAGTGTGGTAATGTGTTGTATGGGGAGTAATCTGTTGTACTGGTCCGATGTAAGTCAATGGGAAAAAGTGCTTGAACTTTTGTTAATATCTGAAAAAGTGCTAAAGGTGGAAGTGTGAAAAGTAATAGCAATAATGAGACGGTGAAGCCGGTCGTAACGATGTATAATTTGTTGAATTTGGTGAAAGCGTTGAAGAGTTGAAAAGTGCCAAAATCTGGCGGAAGTGGAAGAAGAAGAAGAAGAAGAAGAAGAAGAAGAAGAACTAGAAATGGTACAATGGCTGAAGCCATTGTGAGTGGCTGCATAGATGTTGGAAGGGTTAGGGATGAAGAAGGAAGAGGAAGGGGAAGAAGGAAGAAGAAAGAAAAGTGAAGAAGAGGAAAGAAGAAGAAGGAAGAGGAGGAGGAAGAAGAAGAAGAGGAAGAAGGGGAAGAAGAGGAATAAGGGGAAGAACAGGAAGAACAGGAAAAAGGGGAAGAAGGGGAAGAAGAGGAAGAAGAGGAAGAAGAGGAAGAAGGGGAAGAAGGGGGAGAAGGGGAAGAAGAGGAAGAAGGGAAGAAGAGGAAGAAGAGGAAGAAGGGGAAGAAGGAGAAGAAGAGGAAGAAGGGGAAGAACAGGAAGAAGTGGAAGAACAGGAAGAAGAGGAAGAAGGGGAAGAAGAGGAAGAAGGGAAGAAGAGGAAGAAGAGGAAGAAGGGGAAGAGGAAGAAGGGGAAGAACAGGAAGAAGTGGAAGAACAGGAAGAAGAGGAAGAAGGGGAAGAAGGGGGAGAAGGGGAAGAAGAGGAAGAAGAGGAATAAGGGGAAGAAGGAGAAGAAGAGGAAGAAGGGGAAGAACAGTGCTAAATGTGTTGTAAAGTGCTGAATGTGTTGTAAAGTGCTGAATGTGTTGTAAAGTGCTAAATGTGTTGTAAGGTGTTGAATGTGTTGCAAGGTGCTAAATGTGTTGTAAGGTGTTGAATTTGTTGTAAGGTGCTGAAGGTGTTGAATTTGTTGTAAAGTGCTAAATGTGTTGAATTTGTGTTAAAGTGCTAAATGTGTTGTAAGGTGTTGAATTTGTTGTAAAGTGCTAAATGTGTTGTAAGGTGTTTAATTTGTTGTAAAGTGCTAAATGTGTTGAATTTGTGTTAAAGTGCTAAATGTGTTGTAATGTGTTGAATTTGTGTTAAAGTGCTAAATGTGTTGTAAGATGTTAAATGTGTTGCAAGGTGTTGTAAAGTGCTAAATGTGTTGAATGTGTTGTAAAGTGCTAAATGTGTTGTAAGGTGTTGAATTTGTGTTAAAGTCTTAAATGTGTTGAATTTGTTGTAAAGTGCTAAATGTGTTGAATTTGTGTTAAAGTGCTAAATGTGTTGTAAGGTGTTGAATTTGTTGTAAAGTGCTAAATGTGTTGTAAGGTGTTGAATTTGTGTTAAAGTGCTAAATGTGTTGTAAGGTGTTGAATTTGTTGTAAAGTGCTAAATGTGTTGTAAGGTGTTGAATTTGTGTTAAAGTGCTAAATGTGTTGTAAAGTGCTAAATCTGTTGTAAGGTGCTGTAAGTGTTGTAAGATGTTGTAATGTATTGTATCTGTGGTAATGAATTGTTAGTGTGGTAATGTGTTGTATGGGGAGTAATCTGTTGTACTGGTCCAATGTAAGTCTATGGGAAAAAGTGCTTGAACTTTTGTTAATATCTGAAAAAGTGCTAAAGGTGGAAGTGTGAAAAGTAATAGCAATAATGAGACGGTGAAGCCGGTCGTAACGATGTATAATTTGTTGAATTTGGTGAAAGCGTTGAAGAGTTGAAAAGTGCCAAAATCTGGCGGAAGTGGAAGAAGAAGAAGAAGAAGAAGAAGAAGAACTAGAAATGGTACAATGGCTGAAGCCATTGTGAGTGGCTGCATAGATGTTGGAAGGGTTAGGGATGAAGAAGGAAGAGGAAGGGGAAGAAGAAGGAAGAAGAAAGAAAAGGGAAGAAGAGGAAAGAAGAAGAAGGAAGAGGAGGAGGAAGAAGAAGAAGGGGAAGAAGGGGAAGAAGAAGAAGGGGAAGAAGGGGAAGAAGAGGAAGAAGGGGAAGATGAGGAATAAGAGGAAGAAGGGGAAGAAGAGGAAGAAGAGGAAGAAGGGGAAGAAGAGGAAGAAGGGGAAGAAGAGGAAGAAGGGGAAGAAGAGGAAGAAGTGAAGAAGATGAAGTAAGAAGAATGTGTTGTAAGGGGCTGAAAGTGTTGTAAAGTGCTGAATGTGTTGTAAGGTGTTGTAAAGTGCTAAATGTGTTGTAAAGTGCTGAATGTGTTGTAAAGTGCTGAATTTGTTGTAAAGTGCTGAATGTGTTGTAAAGTGCTAAATGTGTTGTAAAGTGCTGAATGTGTATTCAAGTGCTAAATGTGTTGTAAAGTGCTAAATGTGTTGTAAGGTGTTGAATTTGTTGTAAAGTGCTAAATGTGTTGTAAGGTATTGAATGTTTTGTAAAGTGCTAAATGTGTTGTAAGGTGTTGAATGTGTTGTAAAGTGCTAAATGTGTTGTAAGGTGTTGAATTTGTTGTAAAGTGCTAAATGTGTTGTAAGGTTTTGAATTTGTTGTAAAGTGCTAAATGTGTTGTAAGGTGTTGAATTTGTGTTAAAGTGCTAAATGTGTTGTAAGGTGTTGAATGTGTTGTAAAGTGCTAAATGTGTTGTAAGGTGTTGAATTTGTTGTAAAGTGCTAAATGTGTTTTAAGTTGTTGAATGTGTTGTAAAGTGCTAAATGTGTTGTAAGTAGTTGAATTTGTTGTAAGGTGCTAAATGTGTTGTAAGGTGTTGAATTTGTTGTAAAGTGCTAAATGTGTTGTAAGGTGTTGAATTTGTTGTAAAGTGCTAAATGTGTTGTAAGGTGTTGAATTTGTTGTAAGGTGCTAAATATGTTGTAAGGTGTTGAATTTGTTGTAAGGTGCTAAATGTGTTGTAAGGTGCTATAAGTGTTGTAAGGTGTAGAATTTGTTGTAAAGTGCTAAATGTGTTGTAAGGTGTTGAATGTGTTATAAAGTGCTAAATGTGTTGTAAGGTGTTGAATTTGTTGTAAGGTGCTGAATGTGTTGTAAGGTGTTGAATTTGTTGTAAGGTGCTAAATGTGTTGTAAGGTGTTGAATGTGTTGTAAAGTGCTAAATGTGTTGTAAGGTGTTGAATTTGTTGTAAAGTGCTAAATGTGTTGTAAGGTGCTGTAAGTGTTGTAAGATGTTGTAATGTATTGTATCTGTGGTAATGAATTGTTAGTGTGGTAATGTGTTGTATGGGGAGTAATCTGTTGTACTGGTCCAATGTAAGTCAATGGGAAAAAGTGCTTGAACTTTTGTTAATATTTGAAAAAGTGCTAAAGGTGGAAGTTTAAAAAGTAATAGCAATAATGAGACGGTGAAGCCGGTCGTAACGATGTATAATTTGTTGAATTTGGTGAAAGCGTTGAGGAGTTGAAAAGTGCCAAAATCTGGCGGAAGTGGAAGAAGAAGAAGAAGAAGAAGAAGAAGAAGAAGAAGAAGAAGAAAGAAGAAGAAGAATAAACAGTAGGAGAGCATATAGTGGCTGCATAGTCTATGCAGCCACTCAATAAACAGTAGGAGAGCATATAGTGGCTGCATAGTCTATGCAGCCACTCAATAAACAGTAGGAGAGCATATAGTGGCTGCATAGTCTATGCAGCCACTCAACTAGAAATGGTACAATGGCTGAAGCCATTGTGAGTGGCTGCATAGATGTTGGAAGGGTTAGGGATGAAGAAGGAAGAGGAAGGGGAAGAAGAAGGAAGAAGAAAGAAAAGGGAAGAAGAGGAAAGAAGAAGAAGGAAGAGGAGGAGGAAGAAGAAGAAGGGGAAGAAGAAGGGGAAGAAGAGGAAGAAGGGGAAGAAGGGGAAGAAGAGGAAGAAGAGGAAGAAGGGGAAGAAGAGGAAGAAGAGGAAGAAGGGGAAGAAGGGGAAGAAGAGGAAGGAGGGGAAGAAGAGGAAGAAGAGAAAGAAGGGGAAAGAAGAAGAAGGAAGAGGAGGAGGAAGAAGGGAAAGAAGAGGAAGAAGGGGAAGAAGGGGAAGAAGAGGAAGAAGAGGAAGAAGGGGAAGAAGGGGAAGAAGAGGAAGGAGGGGAAGAAGAGGAAGAAGAGAAAGAAGGGGAAAAAGAGGAAGAAGATGAAGTAAGAAGAATGTGTTGTAAGGGGCTGAAAGTGTTGTAAAGTGCTGAATGTGTTGTAAGGTGTTGTAAAGTGCTAAATGTGTTGTAAAGTGCTGAATGTGTTGTAAAGTGCTGAATGTGTTGTAAGGTGTTGAATTTGTGTTAAAGTGCTAAATGTGTTGTAAGGTGTTGAATGTGTTGTAAGGTGCTAAATGTGTTGTAAGGTGTTGAATTTGTTGTAAAGTGCTAAATGTGTTGTAAGGTGTTGAATTTGTTGTAAAGTGCTAAATGTGTTGTAAGGTGTTGAATTTGTTGTAAAGTGCTAAATGTGTTGTAAGGTGTTGAATTTGTTGTAAAGTGCTAAATGTGTTGTAAGGTGTTGAATGTGTTGTAAGGTGCTAAATGTGTTGTAAGGTGTTGAATTTGTTGTAAAGTGTTAAATGTGTTGTAAGGTGTTGAATGTGTTGTAAAGTGCTAAATGTGTTGAATTTGTTGTAAAGTGCTAAATGTGTTGTAAGGTGTTGAATGTGTTGTAAAGTGCTAAATGTGTTGTAAGGTGTTGAATTTGTTGTAAAGTGCTAAATGTGTTGTAAGGTGTTGAATTTGTTGTAAAGTGCTAAATGTGTTGTAAGGTGTTGAATTTGTTGTAAGGTGCTAAATGTGTTGTAAGGTGTTGAATTTGTTGTAAAGTGCTAAATGTGTTGTAAGGTGTTGAATTTGTTGTAAAGTGCTAAATGTGTTGTAAGGTGTTGAATTTGTTGTAAAGTGCTAAATGTGTTGTAAGGTGTTGAATTTGTTGTAAAGTGCTAAATGTGTTGTAAAGTGCTAAATGTGTTGTAAGGTGTTGAATTTGTTGTAAAGTGCTAAATGTGTTGTAAGGTGTTGAATTTGTTGTAAAGTGCTAAATGTGTTGTAAGGTGTTGAATTTGTTGTAAGGTGCTAAATGTGTTGTAAGGTGTTGAATGTGTTGTAAGGTGTTTTCATTTTTTCATTTCATTTATTTATTTATTTGAACAGGGACAGTGTACAATATACACTAGAAACTTGCAATGGCTGAAGCCATTGCGATTGACTGCGGAACAGATCTAATGTGGAAATCTGCTAAAAAAAATCCTTGAAATCCTTTAAAAATGCCTTGAAAACTGTTAAAATACTTGATAGATATTTGAAACTTCCTGAAGTCCTTGAAATTGTTGAAACCTTTAAACTCCTGAATCCTTGAAACTGTTGAAACATTGAAACTCCTGAAATCCTTGAAACTTTTTTAAACCTGGAAACTGTTGAAAGTGTGGAAACTCCTGAAATCCTTGAACCTCCTGATATCCTTGAAACTGGTTAAATTCTTAAACAGTTGAAATCCTTGAAACTACTGAATGTATTGAAAGTGTCCTTGAAACTGAAAAATCCCCTCACCGCTGAAACAATTTGGTTCCTGTAACTAAGGAAACCTGGTCTGTGGTCATTATCTGGTGGTGGTCTGAGTCTTCGTTTGGGTCTTGGTCTGGTGGTATAATGCAACCTATTAGGTTGCATTATACTGGTTTACATGGAAAAATCCCTATTAGGTTGCATTATACTGGTTAACATGGAAAAATCCCTATTAGGTTGCATTATACTGGTTTACATGTACAAATCCCTATTAAGTTGCATTATACTGGTTTACATGTAATAACCCCTATTAGGTTACATTATACTGGTTTACATGTAAAAACCCCTATTAAGTTTCATTATACTGGTTTACATGTAAAAACACTATTAAGTTGCATTATTACTGGTTTACATGAAAAAAAACCTATTAAGTTGCATTATACTGGTTTAAAAATCCCATATACTGGTTTACATGAAAAAAACCCTATTAAGTTGCATTATACTGGTTTACATATTAAGTTGCATAATACTGGTTTACATGGAAAAACCCCATTAAGTTATTATACTGGATTACATGAAAAAAACCCTATTAAGTTGCATATACTGGTTTACATGGAAAAATCCCTATTAAGTTGCATTATACTGGTTTACATGGAAAAATCCCCATTAAGTTGCATTATACTGGTTTACATGGAAAAATCCCCATTAAGTTGCATTATACTGGTTTACATGAAAAAACCCTATTAAGTTGCATTATACTGGTTTACATGTACAAATCCCTATTAAGTTGCTTTATACTGGTTTACATGTAAAAACCCCTATTAGGTTACATTATACTGGTTTACATGTAAAAACCCCTATTAAGTTCCATTATACTGGTTTACATGTAAAAACCCTATTAAGTTGCATTATACTGGTTTACATGAAAAAAAACCTATTAAGTTGCATTATACTGGTTTACATGGAAAAATCCCTATTAAGTTGCATAATACTGGTTTACATGGAAAAATCCCCATTAAGTTGCATTATACTGGTTTACATGAAAAAAACCCTATTAAGTTGCATTATACTGGTTTACATGGAAAAATCCCTATTAAGTTGCATTGTACTGGTTTACATGGAAAAATCCCTATTAAGTTGCATTATACTGGTTTACATGGAAAAATCCCTATTAAGTTGCATAATACTGGTTTACATGGAAAAATCCCCATTAAGTTGCATTATACTGGATTACATGAAAAAAAACCCTATTAAGTTGCATTATACTGGTTTACATGGAAAAATCCCTATTAAGTTGCATTATACTGGTTTACATGGAAAAATCCCCATTAAGTTGCATTATACTGGTTTACATGAAAAAAACCCTATTAAGTTGCATTATACTGGTTTACATGAAAAAATCCCTATTAAGTTGCATTGTACTGGTTTACATGGAAAAATCCCTATTAAGTTGCATTATACTGGTTTACATGGAAAAAACCCTATTAAGTTGCATTATACTGGTTTACATGTAAAAACCCCTATTAAGTTGCATTATACTGGTTTACATGGAAAAATCCCCATTAAGTTGCATTATACTGGTTTACATGAAAAAAACCCTATTAAGTTGCATTATACTGGTTTACATGAAAAAACCCTATTAAGTTGCATTATACTGGTTTACATGGAAAAATCCCTATTAAGTTGCATTATACTGGTTTACATGGAAAAATCCCTATTAGGTTGCATAATTACACTGAAGTCCTTGAAACTGCTGAAGTCCTTGAAACTGCTGAAGTCCTTGAAACTGCTGAAGTCCTTGAAACTGTTGAAGTCCTTGAAACTCTTGAAATCTTGAAACTGCTGAAATCCTTGAAACTGTTGAATCCTTGAAACTGTTGAATCATTGAAACTGTAGAAATGTCTGAAAGAGCTGAAGTCCTATTAAAATGCATGGGCCTATTAAAATGCATTGCAGAATTCTCAATGCAGATTTTTGTCCGATTGCGGAAAAACCGGAAATCGCTGAAGTCCCAAAAGTAATAGCAATAATCTCCCAAACATGTGGAACGTTTTGATGTATAACTTGTGGAAATTGTTGAAAATGTGAAAGCTGTGAAACGTGTCAAAAAAAATGACGGAATAAAGAAATACAAAACCAATGGTTGACTGCGGAAGGTTCCGCAGTCAATCAATTAACCTCAGAAAGGAGAGATGCATTGTACCAGGTTGTAGCACTTGTGCTAATTTCCACCTGCAGTCCCTGGGCAGACTGATGTCAACATACAAAGTTTTAGAAAATTACACATGTTAAAAATACATTTCCCCCTAAACAGCATTAAAATGAAACCAATTTACACTACATTATGGGAACAGGTTTGTTTTAAAAGAAGCAATTTTTTGGCCTGGTGTGAAAAAGTGTTAAAATTGTTGTAAAGTGTTAAATGTGTTGTAAGGTGTTGAATGTGTTGTAAAGTGCTAAATGTGTTGTTAAGTGTTGAATTTGTTGTAAAGTGCTAAATGTGTTGTAAGGTGCTGTAAGTGTTGTAAGATTTTGTAATGTATTGTATCTGTGGTAATGAATTGTTAGTGTGGTAATGTGTTGTATGGGGAGTAATCTGTTGTACTGGTCCAATGTAAGTCAATGGGAAAAAGTGCTTGAACTTTTGTTAATATCTGAAAAAGTGCTAAAGGTGGAAGTGTGAAAAGTAATATCAATAATGAGACGGTGAAGCCGGTCGTAACGATGTATAATTTGTTGAATTTGGTGAAAGCGTTGAAGAGTTGAAAAGTGCCAAAATCTGGCGGAAGTGGAAGAAGAAGAATAAACAGTAGGAGAGCATATAGTGGCTGCATAGTCTATGCAGCCACTCAATTATAAATGTGGTTTTGGGGGGGTCTGTGGGGAGGAGGGTTTAGGGCTGGGCATGTTGGATTGTTTTTAACTAAACTGTAAAGCACTTTGTGTTACACTTTTTGTATGAAAAGCGCTTTATAAATAAAATTTGATTGATTGATTGATTGATTAAATATCGCACAATTCTATACTTTGTGCTATCCTTGGGTCAAATTGACACCCAAAAATACCCTAAATATTTTTTTTTCCAAGCTGAATTTTGAGTATTTTTCCTGCCTTGACCAGCCCAACTTAGTCCTTTAGACCCATTTTAAACCCTAATTTTGGGTTTCTTCATTCCTATTTTCCTACGGCAGCACAAGGGTTAAAAAATTAGAATAACCTCTATCTTTAACTTAATAAAGATAGACAATTTTTTTAAGTATTTTCCATAGACTGTAATTTACTGTGCATAGTTTGATACATTTTCCGTGGTTTGAAAGACATTCCAGCTTTAATGAATCTCTATGAGACACAATCACTCTCCTATCATTTCATTATCTCGTTCTAACACATCTATAAAAGTAAAAATGCCTTTATGGCGCGTGTGAATGAGCCATGGGGCCGGGTTCAGGGAACGTCGGCGACTGGAATAATCTCAAACCCCGGAGAGCCGGACTCAGCTGGTCGGGTTTAACAAGCTCAAGTCTGGACAGGACTCAGATCTGGTCTCGGTGTCGCACTCCTGTCGCTGCTGCTGCTGCTCCAGACCAGGGATAAAAATGGCCTCATCTCACGACAGACACTTCATTTGACGAGCTTTTGATTGGACAAAACTGGAACAAGGGTTTGCTGCAAGTCACAGGGACAAAAGAGGCCGGCTTTGAAGCAGACAAAGAAAAGTTTGAATCTGTCGGTAGTGATTAAGGCAGGTGCGTTTGCCTTAACGTGTGCATTATCATCATGCTCACACAAATGTCTTCAGTTCACTATACATTTATTAAACCATTTCTGGGTCGGGGAGGTGGCAGTCAGAGATAACAAAGTACCAAACAGAAACACATACACAGCATAAGGCGCAACAGCCAAAAATGCATCGTAAAGAAGGAAAAAAACAAATATAAGTCGCTTTTTTATACAGCTTGTGGGTTTTGATGAACAAAATACACAATACTCTTCTTATTAGCTTAATCGTTCAACTTAATAGCCCGGGCTATTATTTGATATTTTACTGTAAATAGATATAAAATTGACTAATTTCACACATTTTATCAAACTATGACAAAACTGCGTACAGATTTGCATAAGAAATAATATAATTGTGTTGATTTGTCGCCTGAGGATAACGGCTGTACTGTATTACTGTAGAGATCCTTTGTTTCGTCACACAGTGGGGAAATTCCAGTGTTGCATCACCAGTTACAGAACAGCAGGAATGAGAACACAACATAAGAGAAGTGAACATCTATACTAAAATAGGTAATATTACTTAGTTGGGCGGCACGGTGGAGTGGATAGCACTCTCGCTCTCAGCAAGAAGGTCTTGGGTTTGAATCCCGGTCGGAACGGGGTCTTTCTGAGTGGAGTTTGTTCTCCCCGTGCTTGGGTAGGTTTCCTCCGGGTACTCCGGTTTTCCCTACCACTAAAAACATGCACACTAGGTAAAATCCTCCAGCTCTGGTCCTGACCAAGCCGAGCATCAACATCTGGAGATGGGGTCCCGGGGCCGTTACTACGGCGACCAATGCTCCTGGCGTTAGCCTGATGGTGCGTTCAGACCAAACGCGATTTCTGCGGCCAAAGCGGCGGGTCTACATTGACACAACATGGGGGACGCGCGCCAAGGAGCGGCGAGAGATCACGCGGCGCGATTCGCGCGGCCAGAGCGGCGCGAATTTGAGCGTTTCGCGCGATTCGCGCGGCGTGTTTTGAGATGTCAAGCGTTTTGACGCGCGTTTCGCGCGATTCGTGCCTCCAACGCGGCCGCCGCTAGAGTTGAACAATGTTGAACTTTTTGGGAGAATTCGCGTGTGCCGACCAATCAGGAGCTTTCTCCTCCAGTGACGTAGTGACGCATTTCACTACCGGAAAAACACTGGTAGATGACAGCTATGGAGGACACGTCAATTGCTCAGGTCGGTGCTCATTCTGAGCTATATAACACTGCGGACATCAGCTACCGGGACCGAAATAAAAAGGAGCTTGCTTGGAGGAGGGTTAGCGAGGTGGTTGGTGTCTCGGGTAAGTTATTTTAACTTTTCAATGTTGTAAATATTTCCCCGCGAAAAAAACTACTACTTTCCTGCTTACGAGTTGATGTGTTTATTCAGTGGAAGTTTGCAAAAAGCGGTGGAAGAATCTGAGGGACACATATGCTAAGGAGAGCAGGAAGAAGGAGAAGGTGAAGAAGAGTGTAGCAGAAGCAGGGAAAGGCCAGACGTGGAAGTACCTTGTGGTCATGTCCTTCCTCGAGCCTTACATCACTCCCCGTGACAGCTCCGGGAACATGCCAAGGCGAAGGGCCGAGGAGGAGCAGACCACAGGGTACAACCACCCAGAAGAAGAGCCAGAGGAAGCAGCAGCAGGGCTGTCAGGTGCTGAAGGTCGGTGTCATGCAGCAAACAGAGACCTCCAACAGTTGGAAAAAATACATTTCTTTCCTTTCTATTACCCACATTTTGCTGACTTTTACATTTATATTGCTGTCTGTGTATGCATTTCTTTTAATGATTTCTTAACATCATGGCCAGGTGAAAATAGGCATTGGCTATTTTCAAACCAGGATAGATCTTGATCATGTGTTGTGTTAAATTTCACTTTTCCCTTTTATATGAACAAATCATTTAAATGTACATAATAATGTACATTATTATGTACATATAAATGTCATAAGCGCAATGTACACATGATATGAAATAATTGTATTTCTTGTTTTCTTCTGGCACAGACACTGCCACCACCACACAAGGTGAGACATCTTGGCCTGAGCTGCTGCTGCTGCTGCTGCTGCTTCCTCAGCCGGTTCTTCTTCTGTGAGGGCTGGACCTTCCCCTGCTTCTGCACCTACAGGTGTGGCTTTTTTTAATCATTGTTTTATTTTTATTCTTTTTACAGGACTGTTCATATAAACAAAATGTTACTGCATAATATGCCAAAATTACCCAAGGGCTGTTACATCAGTGTAGACGACAAATTTACAGAGAAACACCAAGATGTCAAGGCACTACAGGTGGAAAGAAGCTTTGGTCTGATACAACACATCTTCCCTCTTTCTTCGATAAAAACATACTACTGAAATACCTTATGCTATAAAAGTACTGAACAAATACATGCAATGGTTGCCACAAGATGGCAGCTATCCTGTTTAATGCAGACAATAGAGTATTACTTTTTTACAGCCAATTTCAAATTTCATTGCGAAATACACTTCAGAGATATTAGTTTGTAACTGTCAAAATTTGTGCTTGTGTGAGTAATTTCATTGATAACTGCAATGTTCAAGTTAATTGTAACAAACACACAACTTAAAAGTGTTTTACATGTGTTTAACTATGTCTACACACTCTGGCTTTAATACAGATATTATTTGCTCTCTTCATTTTGCTTTTTTGAAATACATGTTCCACTTTTTAACACTGTGATTGCCCTGTGTTCTTTGTTGGCGGCTCTACGGACGTGGGCCTCTTCCGAGCCCTCTTCCTTGGTGGGCCTTCAGAGTGGGAGCGGGAGCTGCTGGAGACTCTACGGACCAAAGCAGCCGGACCGCCCGACTACTCAGAAGACCATCAGTTCCTGCTCTCTCTCTTTCCTCTCCTGCAAAGGGTGGCACCAGAGTCAAAAGAATTTGTGAAATTCAAAATGTACCAACTTTTATATGAAAGCAGCACCGTTCTGCTTAATTTGGAACCATTGGCCAGAACAGACAGTTTTTTGACCTAAGGTGACACCTTTTGCAGGGGAGGAAACAGACATGTGTCCCTTTCCTCTTCCACCGCACCTCCTCCAAGCAAGCTCCTTTTCATTTGTTTATATGTACATTTCATTTATTTTTCATTGTTTGTTCCTTTTTTTATAAAGAAAATATTTTTCAAACCTCATGTGTTCTACTTCAAGCCAACCATTACTACCTTTCATATAATATTGACAGAAAATGCTATTCTATATTTGTACATTTACTTTTATAAGAGCTGACTGGGTTTTATAGAAGATGGAATAACGAACACTTAAAGAGCGATACAGTAGTTGACAGTATTTTTTATTCATTTCACCTTTTACTGTTTTAACAACCTTGTAATTATGGAAAAGCTTGAATGTGCATATGATTAACCTGAAGTTGGAGTGGAGTCGCAGTGGAGTCTGGCAGTCATTACCTAGAAACAGAAGGTATACAGGTGAATAGAATAGTGCAAATCAATATGGGTTTGGACTATGGCCAGATGTGGGTCAGTCTTGTGGTGGACATGACTACTCTGTGGGCTGCCACGGCAGTGCTCCCTCCTCACTGAAGTGGGCCATGAACACTTTCCTTATGTCCACTGCTGGCTTCCAGGCGGCCATCCGCTGCACGCCTGGAAGTGGTTCTTCACCGACAGCAGCTCCCCTCGGTGCAGGAACCTGCCCATCTCCAGCCATCCTCATGGCTGGAGATGGGCAGGGCGCATTAAATTGCAGCGCAGTGAAAAGGCCTCATCTGCCACGAACACATGGGGCTGGGGTCCTCTGTGGTCAGCTCCAGGTATGCACTGGTCAGGAGGCAGGTCGAGTGTGCCCTCGCGCAGAGCCTCACCAAAGGCAGAGTTGGACACGATGCCTCCATCGCTGGATCTGCCGTACCCTCCCACATCAATCACCCTGAACCTGTACTGGGCATCCACTACAGCCAGGAGCACAAGGGAATGGTGCCCCTTGTAATTAAAAAAACATGGACCCAGAGTTGGGGGGTGCCTTCACAGCCACATGCTTCCCATCAATGGCCCCACAGCACAGAGGGAAGTTCCATCGGACCTCCACTCCTCTGCTCCAGGCACAGCCATGAACTCCTCCACGAGGCAGTCCCAGATGGCTGCCACCACATCTGGGATGAGCATGGAGACGGTGGATATGCCCGCTCTGAAGCTCCCCGCAATGGTCCTGTAGGAGTCCCCAGTGGCAAGAAACCTGCAATTACAAAATGATATGAACATATTTATCACAATTACATTCATAACAATCACGTGACAAAACTTGTGTAGCATAAAATACGTTAAACTAGTAGACAGTAAACATCATAGACAGTAATCATAGACACCATATTGTTGCATAATACTGTTTTCTGAGCTATTACATTGTGGATTGTGATTGAAAAATGACAAACTTTGTAAGTATTTAGGAATTCCGAATGGGGTAAAAAACACTAACCGCAGACAGATGGACAGGCGCTCTTCAGCTGGAATAGAGCGCCTGTAGTTGGTGTCCTGGTAGGTGATCCTTGCGCCAATGCGGGTCAGTAGGTCGTCAAACTGGGCCAGGGAGAGACGAAAGTACCGCTGAAAGCGACCCTCATCCGAGCGCAGCTCCCGGAGCAAATGGTGAAACTCACCAAACTCCAACCGTCTACGGACTATCTGGTGAATCCAGACACGTCGTCGATTCGCCCTTTGACGACGCTGTCTGGCTTTATTTATTAGATAGAGCCAAGCAACTCCTTCGCTGACATCCATTTTGGGAAGCTACAGGCAAAAGAGACAAGCCCCGCCCCTAAACGCTCTCAACGCTCTGTGACAGCGGCTGCCCTCTAGTGTCCTGGCCGCGCGGCCAAGTTTCTCTGTGACAGCGGCTGCCACAATTTGTCACAAGCGGCTCAAGCCGCGCAATATACGCGATTTGGCCGCAGAAATCGCGTTTGGTCTGAACGCACCATGAGCGGCATCAGGATGGGTCAAATGCAGAGGATTGAATTACCCTACGGGGATTAATAAAGTGCACCTTTACTCTAGTTACTTACTTACTTACAACACTAAATTAGAAAACAATCTAACTAACTAGCGCCGTAAAGAAAAAAAACGAGAATACAGTATATAGGACAAAGTGACAGTGGACCCATGTTTTTCTGTATCGCACGTTCTGACGTCTATTTGTAGTTGAATTTCTACATCGCCTGCATCCACTTGTGCATTACAGTCATCGGCTCTAGCTCAGCACGCGTGTCCATATAAAACACAATCGATGAGACCTCCAGCTTTTGACATTTCCTTTACAAAACGCTCCAGAGTCAACCACCAGGAAGCCGATATCGACGTGCGAGGCGTCTCAAGCTGCACACGGTACAAGGACTTGGGTCTATTATCGGCTTTCTGTCTTAACCTTGCCCTCGCTCGTGTTAGAGCCCGTTACTTCGTGTAGACCCGGCACAGGCTCTGGACCCGTGCAGGAGTCGTGGGGTCATACAGGCTCCGTCCGGTGGGAGGGGACCGATAGGACGCCGGGACGTGGTCAGAGTGCATGATGAATGTGCTGTCAAACCGGTTTATTCCACCTGAGAGAAGGCCGGACCGATGCGAGAGAGAGAGGAGGGTGGTGTAGCTACAGGCGTTTTCAAAGTGGACGTGACATTGTAAGAATAGGGTTAAGATACTGATACCAGATTCTGGAAAGAAAGGTTTTACACAATTCAATTCAATGTATTTGTGAATAATTACAACAGCAGTCATCACGAAGGACCATTGGAGATGACTGCTACTGTCGATTCGCTAACAACAGATCAAATAATCAGACAGAAGATACAGTTATAAACACATGGGAGACGTTAGTCCATGACTGAGGCTGTAGAACCAGGACTGAGGCTATAGACCCAGGACTGAGGCTGTAGATCCAGGACTGAGGCTGTAGATCCAAGACTGAGGCTGTAGATCCAGGACTGAGGCTGTAGACCCAGGACTGAGGCTGTAGATCCAGGACTGAGGCTGTAGACCCAGGACTGAGGCTGTAGATCCAGGACTGAGGCTGTAGATCCAGGACTGAGGCTATAGACCCAGGACTGAGGCTGTAGATCCAGGACTGAGCCTGTAGATCCAGGACTGAGGCTGTAGATCCAGTCCACAGGTGCAAACAGAAATGGAGACTGGGGTTGGGTGTCACAGTTTATACATTAAAGAGTTAATAAAAGCTTTTTGACTAAACGACTCTTTGTGGGTTTTGCATTAGAGAGAAATGGGGACAATATAGAGCAAGATATTATATCTTCAGAGCGGGGAAATTGTCCAGAACATATTGCAGGAAACTGAAGCCTGTGAATAGCATCCTGTTAATGCTGTGTGCAATCAGACCTACTGCAGGCTATTCATGTGAGCGGGGGAGGGAGGCGTTTGTCCCTATTTCCACTCTGCAGCTTAATAACTATAATAATAATAATAATAATTGATAAGAAGGCATTGGTTTATACAGTGTTTTTTTGGACACTCAAAGACGCTTCACGGCAACCGGTCTGTTCCATCGGCTCTCCAACCACCACCAGCCATTCACACACACACACACACCAGACTCATAATGTGGGTGACGTGTCTTGCCTAAGAACACAACAGCAGTCTGGCACTTTACAGCCGCAGCCGCCCCACTTTGATGTTCCCAGAGGTTTCCCATCCCCGTTCTAACCAGGCCCTGCCCTGCATTGCTTCAGAGGTCTGACAGGGTCTGCCTTTCACCTGCAGGTGGCGCCACAAATGACAGTTTTATGACACGTTTTTGAATGCTAAATGCTGTATATTTATTTATTTATTTATTTTATTCATTTATTTAAATTCTGGACATGACAATACACCACATAAAACACATTACGATGTCATTTAAAATAATTGTAGTCTGGTCGGACAAATGAAAAGGAGCAGAAAGAAGAAAGTTGAATAATTATACAGAATAGTCAAACGCTCATTTCTAATTTGTTGTTGGCTAATCGACAACTGTGCAAAGTCCTCCGAGACGACTGTTTGTGATTCAAGGCAATAGAAAAATACATAGAGTGGAATATGCGAGTGATACTGAATCCAATTACTGTAAGACATTTTCATGAAACAGACCCAAGTGCTTTGTAATTGGCTCAGAGCAGATTCTAATTAAACTTGTTCAAATTAAATCCTCGCTAAACAGACAAAGCTCACGGCACAATTAACAGCCGTAGAACACAAGCATATGACGACGTTCCACGATTTACGGCTGAATCTGAGCGAAGGCCGGTGTTTGCGAAGGAGCGTCCTTGGTTTTTGAGCTGGAGGTGATGTCGCATATACAATAAATTACTCCTGCTGCTGAGGACAAGAACAGGGAGAATTCTCTTGTCGACGCTGCAGAAAGACCGACCGCTCATTTAAGCCAAATATCAGGGCGAGGTCGTGGAGTGTAGTTATTGTGGTGATGTTAGTATAAGTAGCATATCAACCACATCACCCCTGTCCTGAAACCGCTGCAGTGGGTTCCCATCACCACAAAATCTTTCCTCTCACTTTCAAATCCATCCTCGACCTCGCCCCTCTGTGTGTGTGTGTATGTGTGTGTGTGTTGTCCTATGTGTGTGTCTTGCTCTCTATGAATTATGTTTTCATTTTTTGTCTGGTTTACTGTCTGCCGTACTGTATCTGTAAGTTTCTTCTCTAGGGACTTATCATCCATCCATCCATCCATTTTCTTCCCCTTAATCCATTTCTGGGTCGGGGGGGGGGCAGTCAGAGCTGCACCCAGTTCACAGAGCACCAGCCCCTCACTGATCCACCTTCAGGGTTAGTGTCTTGCCCAAGGACTCAACGACAGCAGTCATCAGTGGGAGTCATGAAGTAGGTCTCGTGGGCTCGAACGCTGAACCTTCAGGCCCAACGGCCAATGACCAATGGCCGTTTGTCATTGGTCATTGGCCAATGGGAGAACATCCACTGCGCAGAACCGGGAGAACCAGACGTTGCCCAAATATAGCGAGTTATATGGCGAGTTCCGCAATTATGTCTGCGACCGTGCCGGCACATGCGCCACTGAGCACAAACCATTTGAATACGCCGCCATCTTGGATCGCCGGGGCTTGGTACGGACACAGTGACAGATGAGTACAGCCGCAGGGAGTTCAGCTTCCTGATGGCCTTGTGAATGAAACTGTTTTTAAGTCGACTGGAACTGTTCCGTAAATTCTGCAGTCTCCTCCCTGAAGGCATTACCCTGAAGAGCCTGTGTGATGGGTGCGTAGGGTCCCTGGTGATTCTGACGGCTTTGCGGGTGAGACGGGTGGAGTGCATGTCCATAATGGTGGGGAGAGGGGCTCCACAGATCTTCTCTGCTGCTCTCAGGATGCGCTGGAGGCTCCTTCGGCACAGTCCCGGCGTCAAGAGGGGTCCCGACAGTCCCGCCCCCTCAGTCAAAATGTATATATATTTTTTTTTAAATAAAGAAGTGTATATATATTATTCACAGTTTGTGTATTCAAAACAATCCAGAAACTCAGAAGAAACTCCACTGACTCTAATGAACAGTTTTGAAAATTAAAATTCAGATTATAGTTGAACCCATGTTACCCATCACTCAATTGGTGGGAATATGCAGTGATGACCTTATCAGTGCATATTCCCGCCGTACGGAGTTGCCTGTAACCAGCCAGCAGCTAAGGGTTAGCTCTTCATTTCTGATAAAAATGGACATTCGTACATGGCTGAAAAAGCCAAACACTACACCGGCAGTGTCCCCGCAGCCTGGCAGCAGCTACAGGAGAACCGGGGAAGCCGAAGAGCACCTGCCGAGGCCATGGCAGCAGGTGCCGAGGCAAATGGAGGAGAGTGATTCTCCCGCCGGTCCCCCGGTGCCAATAGCCTCTGACCCGGGTTCAGCGGTGTTCGGGGCGGCGAGGCCACCATCGCACTCGCAGCAACAGCTTTGTTTACCAGAAGACCTCGGAGTTGAAAAGCCAGTTCAAGTTTGTCTCCATCAGTTTCCAAAGAAGCAACAGCATAATAATGACTGTAAACGGTCTTTTTCGGCTAACTGGTACAATGGGAAAGACTGGCTAGAATATTCCCAGCAAGCGGACGCTGCTTTTTGTTTTCCCTGCAGGAAATTTGGAGGTAGTGACTCCGTTTTCACAAGAACTGGATATAATAATTGGAAGCACACTAATGATAAGGCAAAGGGATTTAGCAGGCATAGTAACAGCAAAGAGCACCTAGCGTGTATGGCGAGCTGGAAAGAGAAGCAAATGCGATGCAACATAGGTAGCGAAATCTCAACTTTGGTTAACTCTAATCAGCTTGTGCGAAACCGCCTTTATGTGTCTGCAATTGTGGACATAATTGAATTTCTTGTCTCAAACGAACTGCCACTGCGGGGTGACGTGGATTCAGTCAATAGCAGAGATGATGCGGGCAGCGGACTGTTTCTTTCACTGTTTGAATACACACTGAGGCAAAATCAAGAGCTAGCGAGGGCTTTCAGTACAATTCCAAAAAACGCAACTTATACATCACATGATATACAAAATCACATAATTGAACTGATGAGCACGATTGTAACAGAGCAAATTGTTAAAGATGTTGGAGAGTCGTGGTTTACACTCAAGGTGGATGGAACTAAAGACCCGACAGGCCGTGAAAATGTTTCTATAGTTGTGCGTTATGTGGACAAGGACTTCAAAGTGCAGGAGAGGCTGTTATCAATGCAGACAACAGACAAGTGTGATGCCCTGTCACTCACTAATGTAGTGCTCAATGAACTGTCAAACGCCGGCCTTGACGTAAATAAAATTCTTAGTCAGTGTTATGACGGAGCCAGCGTCATGTCTGGAAGAGAGGGAGGCATGCAGAAGCTTATTCAAAATAAGTTAAACAGAGAAGTGCCTTATATTCATTGTTTCAACCACCAGCTGCATTTGGTGGTTGTTCATGCTATTTCCTCGGAGAGCGCAGTCAGGGATTTTTTTGACGTGTGTAATTCCCTTTATAAATTTCTGAAAAAGCCCACTGTAGCAGCACAGTACAGAGGAGAAAAGCTTAAAAGGCTGTTAGAACAGCGATGGATGGACATCTTGACACGGTGTCTGTGGTGCTGAAGTCACACGCCACACTGGTGGACTTCTTAAAAGAAATGAGATGCACGGGAGCAGGTGCCGATGTAAAAATTGAAGCTGTTGGACTTCACAAGGCCATCACAGAACGGACCTTCAAATTTCTGACCTGTGTGATGCACAAATTATTGGGGCTGATGGACCCAGCCAATCGGATCCTGCAAGCTGAAGAAACGGATCTAATTACTGTAGTCCGCCTCATTCAAAGTGCATCTTCTTGCATCGAAGCTTTAAGATCTGATGCGGAATTTATTAAATTGTGGGATGACAGTGGGGATGCATGTGAGGGCACGCCTGTCCCTCCAAAACGACTGCGGCAGACCACCGGGGCCCTTCAGGACTACGTGGTGAGTGAAGGCCTTGGGCAGCGCGAAGCAGACATCCAACAGGAGTGTAAGCGCCTGTTTTTTGCCATAATCGACTCGATTTTGTGTGAAATGGCTGCGCGTTTCAGCGAGCGCAATGGGACATACCTGTACATGACTGCTTTGAACGCTTTGGATCCCGTAAGTGTGAATTTCTTGGAGGCCAACAAAGTGAAACCACTACTGGATTTGACCAACACAGAAATTATTGAGGGACAGTTCACAGTTGCACGGGACTATTTGAAAAACAGGTGCACAGGCCAGGACGAGGAGAAAGTGACTTTGAGTCAGCTTGTTGCAAAAGAATACATGGTATTGAGTGCCATGCCAGCGGTAATGACGCGCACTGACCTTCGGGGCATCAACTGCTATGTGCGAAAACTCATTCTCCACGTTGAAGAACGTATTTACCGAGCACAGACGCAGCATGTTGCATAAACGGAAAGCCCACCTCATCCAGCTGGCTTTTGAGAATGATCTCAGTCGGAAATTCAAAGATGAATGGAAGGAGATGCTGTTACGGAGATTCCACTCATCAGAAAAGAGGAGACTGCAACTCTACTAAAGATAAGAGCTGGTTATTTTATCATCCGTATATTGTTGATGCTACTGTTTTTGTTACCAATGTTTGTTACTGCTTTGTTACCAATTGATTACGCGTTAGATCAGCGAGTGTGATCTTTGGAGTGTTTTGATGTTGCTCTGTGCTACATGTGTATCACTTCTGAGTCTTCATCTGTTTCTTAATGGTCGGGTTAGAATGAACGTTGCGTTAAAGCAAGAATTATTCCTTATGGCCGTGTGTTATTGTAAGTGTTTTATTTGTTGTGTTAATTACAACACATTATTGTAACTTGTTATCACGTTTTATCGATGTGGCTTATATTTAAAAAAAGTTACATACAAGTTGCATACGTTTTCTCATATGCATGCATACACGTGACGTCATTGCCCCTCCACGTTTTTCAGCCGCCCCCCCTTCTATACTGAGCTGGCGCCGGGACTGCTTCGGCAGGAGGCAGTGCTGGTGCCGTGCCACCCAGTGATGGAGCTGGTCAGGATGCTCTCTACAGTCCCTCTAGTTGCACACAACAGAGGCCGGGACTCCTGTAGCGCCTCTTGTGACGCCTCCACTGTGCTGCAGATGCGTGGGGCCCTCGGTGACCTGTCAGCGCTTCAGAAGAAGATATCTCTGGATTTGTAGGTCTTAAATACTGCTCAAAAAGCCTTTAGCTCAGATGCTAACTGTGTGTTTACTTTTAAAAACACATCCTCTGTTCATTGCTAGCAAAGAGCTTTGGCAGTAAAAAATCCGCTGAACTCCACAAAAACATGGCAAAGATGTACAACAACATCTTGCAAAACAATGCGGATCACAACATGGATCACAACATGGATCTATAATAACAACATGGATCTATAAAAACAACATGGATCTATAAAAACAACATGGATCTATAAAAACAACATGGATCTATAATAACAACATGGATCTATAATATCACCCTCGCGCGCAAGTGAGCTCCGGACCTCATTTGCGCGCGAGTGTGGTTTTTAACGGTGTGAGAGCCCTCGCCTCTTCTCCCTAAGTATGAAAATGAAATTCTTAAATATGAAGTTTAGCGCTGAAATCCTTGTGTTTAAATGTTGACATTATCTTCCAGAAATGAGCCATGTAAGGATCGACCAATCAGAAGCCACCGTTTTAGCAACACCTACAATGTTTGGGGAGGAAGAAATGCCCATAGAAGGAAATTGGCTTCAGCTAGCTTAGGTTGAAATCTGCTTCTTATGCATTAGCACTATGGTGATGTCACACTCGGTCAGTCCACTCCCAATATACGGTCTTGAGAGAGAAATGCCCTAAATGTCAGTTCATTCGCTCTCTCTCGCAGTGATAAGAAAGTGCTTGCGTCAACCTATAGCAAGCACAAACAGGATTGAGTTGTCAGATCGAATTCTCCAAACAGCAGTTAATTGTAGAGGGACCGTGAGCGTGCGGAGGGACACTCACAGCAGATTTTAATCAGACCTGATGGTTCTGACAGCTACTACTGGACAAACGTGCACCAGATGTACTTGCAAAAATATGTCTTTCAAAAGTCTATTTTTAAATGGTTGCCTTACGTGACTTACAGAGTTGTGCCCTGGGGCACACTGACAGAAGTGACTAGTATGTGCCATCTGCCCCTCTGACCACCACCAACCATTCACACACACACCAGACTTATTCTAGGCAATGGGGGTGAAGTGTCTTGCCGAAGGACACAACGGCAGTTTGGTAATTTACAGCCGCAGCCGCCCCACTGTAGCTGGTGTTCCCAGAGGTTAGGTGTCTTGCCAAGGACACAACGACAGCAGACAGTGGGAGTCAATGGTCAAAGTCGGGCTCGAACCCACGACCCTCTGGCTCAAAGGCCAATGCTCTACCAAATGAGCTACTATCGCCCTTATTTGCCTCTCAAAGTCAAGTTTATTTCTATACCCTGTTCCATACAGGGGTCATTCAGTGTTTTTGAGAGTGCTCCTTCTACAGGTGGAGAAGGAGGAAAGGCCGCCCAATCTGGCAACCCTGACAGCGCCCCTTTAGGCCTGGCACGTTCATTACACTCCTCTCAGGTGAAGGGCCTTCGTCTTCAGCTTCGTGCGGACAGATATACATAAAACCATATTCTGTTTTGTCTTGGTCTGGACAGGGCCTAAGTCCAGGGCTGCATAAGTAGGTCACTCCTCTTCACTCTGCGTTATTCTCTTGAATGAAAGTGAGTTATTGTGAAGACGGCGGCTTCTGTTGAGAGAGGATGTGCCAATCTCAGTTGCTAAGAAACTGCTGAGGTGTTGGTGATAATTATGCGAAGACGACTGATAGTGTAACAGAGAATATTTCATCAGATAAGATATTTCTTCTGTGTGTAAGCAATGTAAACAAGCCGGCATGTGCAGAGGAAGCCAAGATATGATTCAAATGTTCACGTTGTAATGTACAAAAGGTGACAATTTCTCTTCTGTCACATAATCAAACTAAATCATGCCTCATTTATTGTATTCAATATGTTTAGACCAGGGGTGCTCACACTTTTTCAGCATGCGAGCTACTTATAAAAGGATCAAGTCAAAATGATCTACCTACTACAAAAATGCAAATCATATATTTATTTCAAAAAATATTCGTTATACCTACAATGTATGTTTATGTACATGCAAAACCGCATGAGCCAATTTAGCACAACACAACACAATTACCTATGTACATTTTTTGTCATTACCCGAGTTTACTCTGATGACTTGCACTGAATTGAATCGGCCAGGGATGCATAGTCCGGAAAATTGGTGGTAACTCGCTGACAAGTTTGTCGTGGTTTAGCTTTCCTGCACTGAGCGCGGTTGTTTGCGCATGTGCAGTCACCTAAGTGTCAGTAAAACATTACTGAGTAAAACACAGATGTAATTTTACTGTGGTGCCATGTCCATGTGCCATGCCTGGTTTTTTTTAAATCCAAATATTTCCCCTCCTCAGTTTATAAAATAATTTGCATCCACACATCTGCGTTATCAATCACATTCGTAACATTCCAAACATGTGCGTCTCTTACGTCCTGTCCTGCGTTGGGGAAAAACACAGAAGTGGGCGGAGCTTTGATGCAGATGCCGGTAACGGCACTTTTACAGTCATAGAAGACTAAAGACGTATGTTTACAAGCACTGACCCCGTCCTCAGCCCTGATTTAGTCCTGGTTTAGTCCTGGTTTAGTCCTGGTTTAGTCCTGGTTTGGTTGTTTTCGAGCGTGAGTCCCCGCGATCACTTTGCTGCTCTCTGATGTGGAGCGAGGATGTTTGCTGCTGCGAGCATCTCACAGCGGACAATTTTTAAGGTCGTATGATCCATGCTTCAGTGATCAGAAGAATTTAAGGGGGTACTGTGGCGTGCGAGAACGCAAAACTCCGGTTATCTCTGTCTACACACAAATGCATTAACGGAGTTTTCAAAAATCTCCACTTTGCCCGGAGTTTTTTGTATATATTCGTTTAGAATGTGTAATTTTTTCATTTATTTAATGCGATCTACCAATACTACCTTTGCGATCGACTGGTAGATCGCGATCGACGTATTGAGCACCCCTGGTTTAGACTAATAGTGAGACCAGAAATGTAAAAAAAAAAAGTATCTATATCTATCTCAAAATTTCAAATAAATTACCCAAAATCTTGAGACTCCAGGGGAAGACCCAGAACAGGTTGTCGTTCAGCTGGTTTGGCACGCCTCAGGATTCCCCCAGATGTGTGTGTGTGGAGCGTCTCTGCTTGGTCAACTGCCCCCTCGACCCGGCAACGGATTAAGCAGAAGAAAATGGATGTATGGCTTGCCCAAAATCACAACAATAGTCATATCGAAGGGTATATAGTGTGAGTGGACTGACTGATTGTGACATCACCGTAACATCAGCGGAAAAAGCCGATTTGAACTTAAGCTAGCTGGAGTCGATTTCCTTATATGGGCATTTGTTCCGATGGCGTTTACTTCGCACCGTAACAACGTAGACGTGTTTGACTAAGGCGAGCTGTAATATCCCCTGAAGGCATCTGATTGGTCAATCCTTTATGGCACATAGCTGGATTTACAAAGACAATGTCGAAATATAAACACCAGGATCTCAGAGAGCACTAAAACCAATTTAAAGTCCAAAATGCTCAAAGAAAAACAATTACTGAGTTAGAGGAGTTGAATTTCCAAAGTAAGTCAATAGTAGCCAGAGTAAGTTTAGGCAAAACTTTTTTATCCATGCGCACTTCCCTCATTTAGCTAGCGGGTTAGCATCGGGCTAGGGAGTTAGCATTGTCCATCTATATACAGTCTCTGATTATAACTAAACAGCAAACCTCTTGGCTGTGAAAATATGACATTTCTAGTTTCTAAAAGCCGATGAAAAGCTAACACCGGATGCATTATTCATCGTCTATAGAAAACAAATCTTAAAAATGAGGATTGGATTGAAACGCCGACACCTGTGGCCACCTCTATATTTAGATTTTTTGCCCGATTTCAACCACAATCTTTGGTGATTGGACCGAAAGAGCCCGGAGACTGTAGACGTTGATGTTTGCAAATCCCATGGAGGAAAAATATGAGGAGTACTAACAAAAGAGGTAACACAGAGGGGAAATTTCAGTGTTGCAGAACAGAAGGAACGAGGAGAACACAGCACAAGATCAGTGAAGAAGGACTCTAGACTAAAATTTTAAAAAATCTCAAAATTTTGCTTAATAATAATGTCCAAAACTGCTTTGTGTGCTGAAAAATAATGGTTGCATGTGAATTGTTCTGGAGGCAGTTGTTGTGGAATTTCTGCAAGAGCTGAAATTTTATTCGGAAGTAAATGAATGAAAGAATACTTTATTTTCGAGCCATGGCAAACAAGAACAAAACCACAACTGAATAGGAAAAAAAACACAATACATCATAATATACAAAAATACAGTATCCATCCATCCATCCATCCATCTTCTACCCTTTAATCCATTTCTGGGTCAGGGGGGTGGCAGTCAGAGATGCCACCCAAGTCTCATAGCACCAGCCCCTCACTGACCCTCTGCAGGTGGTGAGTCCACAGGAGGACGGCTGCTCTAAGTGTGAGCATAGCCTTGATCTTTCAGTGGGGGCTTTGGGCAAAGTGGGGTTAAGTGTCTTGCCCAAGGACACAACGACAGCAGTCATCAGTGGGAGTCGATGGAGAAGGTGCAGAGGTGGGAATTGAACCCACGACCTTCTGGCCTTTAGGCCGATGCTCTACCAACTGAGCTACTGTCGCCCTCAAAAAAAAAAAAAAAAAATACAGTATGTTTTTTTTAATGAACAATTTCCTTGTTAATTAATTCCATATTATAATTTTTGACGTCCTTATTTAAATAGCCTGTGTAGGAATTATGTTTTGGTAATAACTTTGATTACACTGGGTAACAAAAAATATTTTTTGAAAATAGTCCAGGGTTTTTCAGCTGAATTAGACTAATTTTGATGCTCTGAGTCGTTAAATGACCTTGGTTTTGCTCAATCAGGTCAAGATTTTTTGCTACAGAAATATTTTTTTAAATTTTGCGTAAAAAAACAAATTTCTGCGGATCATCAGCTGAGAAACCCTTGACGTTTTTTCCGTTTTCCTCAAGAAATAAAAGTCAACGTATCCAAAGTCATTCAGTTTTTATTTACTCCATCAAATTTGATAAGCAGAATTCATAATAACGTAGACGTACATCCGTAACACTATGGCTGTATCTCAAAAAGTTGACCTGATAGAGCAAAATGCATGTGATATTCGGACTCAGAACACCAACATTAGTCTAAATCAGTTGAGAAACCCCTGACCATTTTTTGGCTGTCAACTTGTGTAATAGTATTAAGTTCTCCCCAAATCCCTTCAGTGTTGTTTTTGTTTTTATATAATATATTAAAGTATAATTTTGTACGAGTTCAGTTTGTTTTTATATGTTTTATAAATCGACGCTCAGATTCTGTTGTTCTTAATCTAATGAACTGTCTACAGGGAGCTTGCTCTTGTTCCAAATTAAAATTCCAGACTTTTTGAAAACATTTTTTCTTCCCAAGACCTTAACTTGATGTACTTGTTTACTTGTGTGCCTACTGCCGACCTCATTGGCTCAGACTGTACCAACTGTGTTAATTAGAAATGCTAATTTTTACAGCCTAGCATTCAATGAACAAGTGCATTATTCTCAATGCCTTAGAGCTGACTGTAAAACTCTGCCACAATTTTTTTTCCCATACTTTATTAAGATTTTCACACTAAATTCAAGACTTTTCAAGGTCTGGAAAACAGTGATTCAAAATTCCATACTTCCAAGACTTTCAAGACTCGCGCAAGCACCCTGTATCTATTTTAGGTATTTTTCTTCGTACAGGCATTACTTAAACCCGAGGTGTCAAACTCTTTTTGGTCAAGGGTCAATTAAAAAAATAGGAACTGATCGGGGGCCAAAACAATTTGAGTTTCTTATCATAGTTTTTTACATTATGAAGATATTTTAACATAACTTTATTGTGACATGAGTGTAACCGTTATTTTCTGGTTTATTTTTCTGAAAATAAAATGTGTTTATTGTTTAGATTGAACCAAAACTGGATCAAATATAAAGTAACAAGTAACAAAAGTGTGTTTTTGGGTTAAAATGTTAGAATACATTTAATTTGGTTGTTTTAGTGAGAAAATAGATTATGTATAACCTGCCTTAGTCACCCACTACCATCAAGGCTGCGAGTTAATAATAATAAATAATAAAAAATAATTTTAGGGGCCACTAAAATTTGTCTTGCAGGCCGGATCTGGCCCCCGGGCCTTGACTTTGACACCCATGACTTAAACCATTGGTCAACCATGGACATTTTATCATTATAGGGTTAGTACTAAATTTCTGAACTGGACATTAGTGCACATATACGTCACTGATAGCACCTGGCAGCAGTTCTGAATCATTACTAGACACTAAACAGACAATAGTAAACAAAGAAATATCTGCTCTAGACATAAAAACAATGAAGTCTGCAGTGAGATGTGTGGTTCGAGGCTTCTCTTCACT